TTACAAGTGGTCTATAGTCCCTCTATGAAACAGCAGGTGATGGAAGTCAATAAATCACCTATTTCTTTGTTTACCTACAAATTACTAGTGTGTTGCCAATTCTGGTCCTAAATGAGGATTATCTTGGGCTCAAAGATGATCACTGGACCTGCTCCAAAGCTAAAATGTCTAAAAATTAAGGAGCACCCTGAGTCATTCCGGCATAAATAGTTATATGCCACAAATGAAAATTAATTAATAAACTGAATCTAGAAAAGTTCACAGAGTCTTTGGAACAGAGCAGAGAAAGAATAATTACAATTTGCTGCATTCAAGTTTATTATTTTAGGTAAACTTGTCAAGGAGTCTTGTGGTCCCTCCAGCCCCCCAGATCATTTCTCAGTAAGTGTGATGCATTTGCTCACAAAGTACCTTGTCAGAGGCATTAAGGTCGGCTCCATGTTCAGCCAGACACTCCACAATGTCGTGGTAGCCCCTGGCAGAGGCTGTCAAGAGGGCTGTCTCTCCCTCTCGGTTCTTAATGTTCACATTGCAGCCAGCTTCACAAAGGGCTTTGGCCACAGAGTAATAGCCATGCCAGGCAGCACAGTGCAGGGGGGTTTCTTCTTCCTGGCCAAGGAGACAAATGCAGAGGAAGAGAGAAGGCAATAAGATGTAAGAAAGGATGGCATGGTGAAAGTCCATGCCGAATTCGGCAGCGAAGTCAAGGCAGTGGAAAGAAAGAGCTTGTAGTTACTGGAGACAGTAATGTGAAATAACGGACACAGGTCTGATGTCTCTCCTTCATTTGTTTTCTTTCCTCAGTGCTTTTGTGTTGGATGAACTCGGCTTTCTCAGCATTTTACTGACAGCTGACTTTTGGGAATCTACTGGGACCACTGGCTCAGCTCTTCTGGACAACAAAGCCCCCAGTATGGGTGGATTTAAAGCATCTTTCCTGTAGAAGTGCATTTGTTTTTACTTCACCTGAGACTGCTAACAGTAGGAGAATGCTTCTCTGAATAAGAATTCTTCTAACAGTTAGAATGTCTCAAGATTTGTGCATGTATCTAACACAAAGATGTGCCTACTATTGCTCTGGGAGATGATTGTGATAACTGTGCTTTAATGAGTCAAGCAAAGGGCAGGCTGTGAGGTCTCTTGGGCTCTAAGACCTAGATGCTCATGGTCAGCATCATCAGACACATATTATCTAGCTAAGAAAGGCTGCTGTAGTGTAGTGGTTACAAATATAGAACCAGACTATGTGGGTTTGAACCCTGGCTCCACCACTTATGGGCTGTGTGACCTCAGGAGAGTTACTGAACCACTCTTTGCCTCAATTCCCTCTTCTGTAAAATGAGAACATTGATAATAGTAACATACCTCATAGGTTGTCCAGAGGATTAAAAGAATGAATGAATGAATGTCAGTGCCTCTGAGGCTCTGTCCTCTGTAAACAGAAAACCTAACTTGGATAAAGCTCCAGAGGACTCAACCGTATCATCTGGCTGCCTGCACATCATGCACAGAGCAGAATGAAGCGAGGACTTCCACTACCATGACCCACCTTGTCCTGGAAATTGGGGTTAGAGCCGAGGCTGCACAGTAATTGAACCACATCGGCGTGGCCGTAGCGAGCTGCCACATGAAGGGCTGTCTCTCCAGACTGCAAAAGAAAGGGCCATAGGTTCAGAGCTGTCCGTGGGAGCAGGAGGCGAGGATGAGAACCCACGGACTGGGGGCCCACTCCCACACATGCCCTGCTCCACGTCTTCCGCTTTGGTGGGGCCTACCCCCGCCAGGCCAGTTGCCTCTTTGGTGACTGGGCAGGGGCCTCAGGTGGAGTGCCCACCAAGCAGCTAGGGTCAGACCCTCACACCTGGTCACCCTGTTTGTCATAAGCCTGCCCCAGGGAAAAATAATTTTCCTTTTTGGTGAGGGCTATTCTCAGCCTTCTTTATATACTGATATTTCTGACTATGTGATTTGTTTCTAAAACACAAAATTTCTTTTTTAATAGTAAGTTCTTTAAGCAGTTTCTCATTTATTAACAAATTTCTCATTTCAATGTCTATGTGTACAGTGTTATTTCTTACATTCTCAGAGTTACCAAAAAACATCACTGTTAGCCCATGCAATAACTTCCTGTGAATTAGTAATAGGTGCCACTTCCTTAAGATATTTTACTTTCTGCACCAAAAAATTGTCAGAATAAACTAACTTAAGATGAAACAAAGCAAGATGCTTGTTGCCACTAGACAGAAAACTGCCATAAAAAATACAAGTATCTTTGATGTAAATGTCATCCTTAGATATGGTACAGTGCACAATCCATACAACTACATGTGGTGGCCCCAAATGAACATGACAAATTAGTCTACAAGAATTAGAAGCAAGAAGGGCCGCGCACTATATACAACATATGAGAAGGTGGGAATCCCAGGTGCAGGTTCCAGCCTTGCTGACTAAGCCACAGGATTGCTGTGTGGCCCGAACAGAACACGTTCACCTGAAAGGAAGGTATCTGCCAAAGTCAATCATTTTCATATTTTTGCCCCACAATGCCTTACTTTCCATGCACTGTCTCATTAAGCCATTGCCAGCAACTGGGAAGTCGGCCTTGTCAGCCACGTCTAAGAGGAAGAGGATGGTAAAGAGATGCAGCACGTGGCAGGTCAGTGAGACAGTCAGGACTCGGCTTGTTCTGGTTGCCTTTCTAGCAGAACTTAGAGTTTTCATGGTCGGAGGAAGACAATTCATGGCTCGCATATTCTGCCAACTATCTAACGGACTTCCGCGAAAAACAGATTCTGATATTAGATCAAGCCAGCAGCGTAAAGAAACTTACAAATTAAATTCTCTGCAGGAAGATGCTGGTCCTGAACTCTTCCCGTTCTTTGGGTCCCAATGCACATGGCATGCTAACACTCACTGCGGCCTTTTATTATGTGCCCTGTCCCTAAGAAAGGAAGTGGCCTTACCTTGTCTTTAACATCCAAAGGGCATCTGTTTGCACTGAGAAATGTCAACGTCTCTACATGGCCATGCCGCGAGGCCCAGTAGATGGCATTGGAGCCACCCTGTACAGAAATCAGTGAAGAGTCACATATCCTGAGAGCTGGTGGATGTGAACGCGCCTCTCACCCAGACCCGCTCCATTTCCCTCTCTGTGACCCCACCCTCCAAAGGAGCTTCCAAGGGGAATGGAACCCCCATTTCACTCTTCAGTTCTGATAAAGGGACCAAGTTAAATAAGATGTTAACATCCGGGAAGCTGGGTGAGGGAACACAGGAGCTCTCTCTACTATCTTTGCAACTTTTCTAGTAAATCTACAATTATTTCGAAAAAGAAGTTGTTCTTCTTTTCTTAAAATCTTCATTTCAACCTCTGGTTAGAATTCCCTCTATTGTCAAGGGTGGGATCCAGTCCACTTACAGCTCTGCAGGAAGTCTCTGGAGGCGGATGACACATCCATTGTAGTGACTATGGGCTGCTCATCAACTGTCTATACTTCCAGTGCAACTACAACTCTAAGTGTAGCACCCTTACTCTGTTGCCCTGATAAACATGCAGGCAAATACATTACTCATGAGATTAATTAGATAGTGAAAACTTTCCCAAATGTGACGTCTGATAACACTGTTGAGTCAATGTGATTGGTAAGGAGTGAGTCTGGGGTACTGCACAAAGAACAGCTGATGTCAAGCCAGCAGAGCCAAGCGGGAGGGGTGTCTGCCTCTCTCTTTCCAACGTAGGTTAGGTGGGACCAGGCTGTTTATAGGAAACCGTTCTTTATAGGAACCTGAGAAATGCAGTAGGGCACACAGGTATTTTTCTAAGTTACCTCTATGATCAGGGAATTTGGGAACACTTAAAAGATTAATTCCTTTGCAATGAAACAGAATAATGACCTTATCCTGGATATCGATTCTTGAGCCTCTTTTAAGGAGCAACTGTAGTATCTGAATATTCCCACAGCCAGCAGCAATAAGTAACGGAGGTGTCCCATGCTGGAATAGGAGAGAGAAGAAATACTACTTTTCAGGTTTAGTAGGGAAGGAAAACTGTCATTGCTGTTGCACACACAGGCACGTGGCTACTACTGGGTAGCAGGCAGGGAGAATCAGGAGAACACACAGCACTTGCTGGATTCAGTCAAAGGTGACATTTTCATTTGCGGGATGAGTACATTTAAAATTTCATGGTTAGAAGTGCAACAGGTACACGTGGAAAGGCTTTGCATGAAGAAAGGTCCTCAGTACAAAAGACCTTATTTCTCGCTCAATTCCCTCCCCAAGCCGCAGTGATTTTCCCCACAGTATGTAGATGGCAACAGGGAGAACAGAGCTGCAGATGTGGCCTTTCCAGCTTGGACTTGGAGGTGCAGTCAGTGTGACCCTCCCACTCCCCCGCTGTCCCTGGCAGAACATATCAGACCTTGTTGGGTTGGTTGACGTCATAGTTGGACAATGAGCCCAGGAGGTGCTGCAGGCCTGGGACGTTGTCGTCGTTGATAGCATGGATGATGGCTTTCATCACAAAGGAGTCCTCTTCATCCTGAGAGAGACAATGAAGAGAAAAAGAGTTAGTTTGCTGGACACAATCCTCTTATCAACATAAGAGAAATCGACGCTCATTTGTTAAAAGGAGCCTTCCAAGGAAAGCATGTCACCTCATCACCAAATCCATGGGGTCATGAAGGGAAGCAGGCTGCTTTCTGCCACTTCCATGTTGGAAACTAATGCCATCCACTATTCACCTGTGCCTTAATGCCACCTGCATCATCACCCGGAGAGCAAGCAGCTTTCCAGATTTAGATTTAGAACAATAATTGATGACCGACTACTCTTTGTGTTTATCTTAGGAATCTTTCAAAATACACAGCCCCAGAAACCACTGTGGAAATTGTAGGTATAACTCAGCCTCTCATCCTAGATGAGGAAATCACAGAACCAAGGAAATGATGCTTTTGAATAAGATAGTCTCAATTTGTGATTTTTCCAATTACAGGATTATCATTTCTTCAATTACAAGAAATTCTTCCTTCTCTAGGGATAGATATGGCAAAATACTCTGAAAGCTGTTAACAATTTTTTTTACAAATAGGCTGTAAAAGAGGCAGAAAGGTAAAAATAAAGGCCAGAAAAAGGAAAACAGATACCTTTCTAATTACAAAGGGAAAATAACTAGAGAATGTCGAACAAGTTTGTTAAATCTTTGCCACTTTATCAAAGTTTTTCGTAATAAGATATTTCCAAAATACAGTCCACATTAAAACCAAGGCATAAGCTTGAAAAATTCCAAACAAAATTTCTGGATTGACAGAGGGATGGCTGCTAAAATTTCAGATCTGGAAAAGTGTATCTACAGAGGCCGCATCTCTGCTCGTGGTGATGGAATAGCGAGCATTCCTCTGCCTGCTTTTTCTTCTCTATGGATTTGAATTCAAACAAATTTCACGGAGTTCTGATAACATTTGTGTTGAATACATGCTTAAGAATGCCACTGGTTTTGCCACTGGATGGCGAAGAGACCAAGAGAAGCAGGGAGAACAGGAGTGGTGAACAGACAGTTAAAGCCGGGACCAGGAGGGTGGGATCTTCCCACCTGCAGCTCCTCCTACCCAGGCCCGAGGCCCTCTCCTGCCCTCAACTTTTGATTGCAACACTTGTATCTTCCCCCAACTGATTATTCAGGGTGATTTTAATTTACAGTATTTGCAGTATTTCATCATTCTCATTATTATCTTACTTAGATGAATAGTTCTTTTTTGTGCACAGACCCACTGCTACCCTCAGTTTCAAAACCAGCCTCTTCCCCTTCCTTCTACTCCTAATTTGCCTCTCTCTCTCTTCCTTTTTCTTTTTAACATCTCCGAGCCCTTTCCACTCTACAAAGCTAGCTCTGAAACCGCAGCGAGGCAACCACCTTCAGGGAAAGGAAAGAGTTGGTGAGGTAGGATCCCACCCTTGGGGTTCCCGGATTCTACTCAGGGAACACTGACTATTCAGATACTGGAGCTGGTTCCCACCCAACCACCCTTTCTGCCTTTCTGGAGTTCCCTTTACCTCCGTGGTTCACAAAGCCCCGTTGTCTGACCATCAGGGGAAAGTCTTGTTGAATTCAGATGTGTCCAGTTATCTGAAGAGTTAACCTATGATTAGGTTTCAGTTTGGATTAGAGGAAAAAGATTATGAAGTTGTTTTCAAGGGCCTTGGACAGTTAATGAGATGACAGCCAAGCAAGTGGGTTTAGCCTCCTGGTCTGCCACCGATAACACAGAACGCCCTCCTGCATTCCCCTCATTTCCTGGTGTGAGTGTGTGTGTGTGTGTGTTCGCTTGGGAGGAGAGTGCCTGCCCCTCTTGTACTATTACCCTCTGCCAGGCAACAGAGTGCTCTTGTTTTAGTTCATGAAAATTAGAATAAGCTCTTTCCTCTTCTACTGGTTAGTACTTTTATCAAACTGAGTTGGGGGAAGGAGGAGGGGTGGAAGTGCCAGAGGTAGTGGGGTGGAGTGGGTGTAGCGCCACCAAAACAAGGAGAAAAAAGGACAGAAGCAACAATCCGATACACCAGATCAGCCACGCCACCTCCACACCTCAGAGGAGGAGGAACAGGCCGGACATGCCGTGACTGCACGGTTCCTCAGCGGCTGGACAAATCAAACAACTTACCCGTTCCAACTACACAGCGCTGAGAAAGACCCTTCCCGAGGCGGACCAGTCTGCTTACCAAAGTGTCGTCACTTCTGGCAACACTCATGTTACTTCTGGACAAGAATGACCGGGACAACCTTTGGCACAGTGATATCAAGCGGACGGATTGCTTTAAAAAAAAAAAAAGAGGAGAAAAAGGCAAGGGAAGAAGAGAGCTTAGGTAACAAAACTCAAATCAGTGCAGATGATACAGTCTTCTGAGAGGCATCACTGCTGACCGAATGTGCTCAGGGGAATACGCTGTGTCATATTTGCTTAAAGCATTATTCTGAACATCTCATAAATCCACGCATCATGAGAGAGAGTTTCTTCTTCTGCCTTATTATTTTTAACCCACAGCTGGATGCCCTGCATCCCTTCTCTCCTGGTGTTCTCTCCTCCTTGGGGAAGAGACCTTACACTGACAAACCCCTTGCATGCCCCCCTCAGAGCAGCACAGCATGGAGAGGCCTTGCCTTGCGTCCTTGTGCCAAGCAAGCTAGTAACGGCACCTAGTGTGACCATCACAACTCAGACAGTTGTTGAGCATGTAGGGGACTGCCTAATCTATAGGACAAACAGATCTGTGCTTACTCTCAAAGGCAGAAGCAACAGGTAAAGATTGTGTGTATGTGTGTGTGTGTGTGTGTGAGAGAGAGAGAGAGAGAGACTTAGGGTAGTTGGCTCTACATTTAAAGCCTTTTGAGAGTAAGAGTCACATTAAAGTAACCCAGTGCTGAGGTCTTCCTCATCCTTATCCTGGCACCCCCAACCGAATGAGTATAAAAATGAGGCACATTTCTACCTAGCGGGGAAGCATAGCAGGTACCCACTTCCTCTGGGCTTGGTATCACCATGGGCCACAGGAAGCCCTCCTGTCACCTTCTGAACCCTGATTCTGACTGTCCACAGCTGGCTGGACTACCTTGGAGAGCTGTGTCCCACACAGGCCCTGCAGAGGCCACCCACCCCGCTGGGGAGTACACGAGACACACTGGATATGCGCATGGCCTCCGCCCCCTCCCCACAGACCATAGCTGGATTTAAGGAACTGTTTACATAAGTTCTGGAATAAACGTAATGCCATGCTGCTTACCACAAAGAACAAACGCATTTAAAATGTGGCTTGTTGCAGTTAGAAAAAGACTGCACTATAATTTTATTGTGCTGGCTCAAAACCTGCCCTGGGAATGGTTTTGATTTTAAAAATGCAAAATTACATGTGAGAAGATGAGTTAAATAGGACTGAAATATTATTTTTGCTTGTCTTGAAAACAGGGTAATGGTGCAAAAGACTACACATTGATTTTATTTTTTAAGATGCATTTTTTTGTATTACCAGCATCAGGAAAGATGAGGACTGACCAGGGGGAGCACTACAGAGGAAATCATATTAGTGAATATGTCCCTATCAAATAATCTTACTTTCCATTTTTTCCGGGCTGCGAACTTCTTGAATTTCTCCATGTTTACTGCCGATGCTTTTCTACTAAGTGCTTGTTGGGAATCTTTAGGCTAAAATGAAAGTCCGACAAAAAAAATTTAGAGCTCTCAAATTAGGGAAATGTGTTACACAACAACTTTATGAAACCTCTCAGTATTTGGGATACTTATACATTCCTCTTACCGAAATAACAAAACAAGTTGGGATGATATACACGATATTGAAACCTACTCCCTGGAGCCTAACACATGAGGCTAAGAGTGTGATGAACTCCATACACACTGAAAGTTGGAAAGTTGAGCTTGGATCAGGCTGAGTTATAATTTCCACAAGAGAGTTTGGAAATGTCAAGAGTCATGATGAGATCATGTTAGGAGGCATCTGAACTTAATATCATCAAGTACTTTAGAGTTGGTAGGGACCTGAGAGGTCAGCAAATTCAGTCTGTCCAATAGCATTAGAATCTCTTGTACTGCATTGTTTTCAGGATGCCATTTAGCTTTACCGCTGAGAGGAAGAGATACCCCTGCCTTCTGCAGGAGCCCACGCAACTGCTGGGTGCTCCCACAGGCAGGGCTCTCTGCTTCCCAAGCCTACCTCTGTAACTGAGGTCACTGCATCACAGTCTGTTGATGGATTCCATGATTTTATTCTCTAAATACCCTGTTCCTCCACCCTTCACCCTCTCTGCTCTAGCTGAAGCAAAGTCAGTTCCTGCACCCAATGCAGAGACAGGCATCAGGCAGGTCATGTAAAGGTGTAATATGCCAAGGGGGTGCCACAAGCTCTGGCACAAAGGCAGCTGTGCCATGTCTCCTGAGGCCTTGTGGAATGAAGGCTCAGTGTTGGCAGACCTTCAGATTTTTCAAGAGAAGCTGGATATCCAGATTTGATATATTTAAATTCTGGAAATCAATTAAAAAAATTCAAACCAAAATTGGTTATTGAGGGGACTTGCCCTCCCATTCCCCGTTTTCAATCCTGCACCGCGGTGGCTTACTCCTCTCCACCTCCATTACCACTAGAACACTGCCATCTGTCAGTTGTCTTAAAATATGTAACCAATAGCAAATACAATACACCCATACATGTCCTGTGCTTAGAACCAACCCATGGTAACTAGTAATGCCCTAGGACAAACGAATTCCAGGATGCCCTAGAATACCCAAATGCATCACAATATACAACTCACCTTGATCCAGGGATGCTGCAAACTATCTTGAATTGTCATTCTCTTCCTTTGTGGAGGGAGGGGAAAGAAAAAAGCAAAGCTGTGACCTAAAAGCAAACATGAAGGGTGTTCCCACGCTGCTTGGGCCCACCAAGCACATGCTATGGAAAATGCAGTTCAGAGCCCCTTCCCGGAGAGAAGCCAGAAACCCCCACGTTGGTGTGATGACGTCTCCGTGCCTGCAGGGACTGGCTGAGCAGGTACTAAGGGCCCTGCCAGCATTTTCTGAAGTGTTCCACATGGCGTGCTTCCCTTCGCCAGGGAGACAACCTTGCATCACAAACGTGGCCATGTGCACACACAGGTGCTAACCTTCATCAAGCTGAGGCCCACGGCCAAATACCTTTCAGGAACAAAGGACACTCACTTTGGATCTTTGATGAGGAGTTTTCTTATGAAATCTCTGGCTAGGGCACTGGTATTACTGAAGTACTCTTCCTCAAATTCATAGTTGACAGCAGATACATTTGCTAATGTTTCTTGCTTAGTGTCTCCAAGAAAGGGGGAGGCCCCACTTAGGCTGTTAATAAAGTAGGGCACAGAGCATGAATAATTACCTCATGTGCAGTCATTTCATTCCTATAATGTCTGATAAGGGGAATGAGGAGCAAGATTATAATCTGGTGGCTGGGTGGTCACCTCAGATTCAATTACACTTTATAGGACATTTACTTGTCATGCACAAAAATGTCAGCTTTAGGCATAGGATGCATTTACACAGTTAATTTGGAACAGGATCTAGTAGTTAAAAAAAAACTGCTTTCCAGTTTCTCGGCAGTGATGGACAGCAGTGCTTTTTTTCAGTGATTATGCTGTAGTTTATGATGACTCATTTCAAATCAGGAGAAAATGTTTAATTAGTATAAACTAAACCCGTTTCTGGGGGTGTAAAATGAATATGTTTACATGAAAAGCATGCATAAACTGAAGAGATCAACATGACACATAGAACGGTTAATAAAACATATGGTCTCAAAGGAAGAGGGAAAGAATATGAGTTGTAGATTTGATACTTACAGAATATAGGTTATTACCCCAATACTCCTAGACACACATAGAAAACAAAAATACATGTCAGAAGACTAGTAAAATAAATCAGAAAGATGACAACATCAAGGGCACATGCTCCTTACCACATATCTGCCTCAAGACCCAGAGGTTCATAGTTGACTATCTCAGGAGCTGAGAGGAAATAAACGCCCATTCAGTTTTGGAAGGAAACAAACCAACCTATCTTTATAAACAAACCAGAAACATGTACTAGGGAAATAAATGATGCTACAGCAGGGGGAAGTTCGCCAGCATAATATTCATGAGAAATTAATGACCACAGGAGTAAAGAAACTTACCAACAAACTCTGGTGTCCCAAATATGTTTTTGAATTCATTTCCAAAGTCAATTTTATGGGCCAACCCAAAGTCGATGATCTTGATCCGAGGTTTGGGGACATTTCTATCCAAAAGCATGATGTTTTCAGGCTTGAAGAAAAGAAAACAAAAAATAGCACAGCCACGTTCATAGCAGTATTTGTCACAATCAACCCCAGGTGCATCAGATGATAACCAAAATGTGGTCTATACACACAAGGGAATGCTACTCAGCCTTAGAATGGAAGTAAATCCTGACACAGGTTACATCATGGGTGAACTTTGAAGACATTAAGCTCAGGGAAATAAACCAGACAAAAAAGGACAAATACTGTTATGATTCCACTTAATATGAAGTACCAAGGATAAGTACATTCATAGAGAAGCAGAAAGGTTGCCAGCAGCTGTGGGGAGGAGATGGGAGCTGGTATTTCATGGATATATAGTTTCAGTTTGGGAAGACCAGTAACTTCTAGAAATGGATGGCAGTGATGGTGGCATAACAATGTGAATACACTTAATGTCACTAAACTGCATCCTTAAACAGGGTTAAACTGGTAAATTTAACATTATGTTTATTTTACCACAATAAAAAAAAGCTATGATATGTTATGCTGAGGACAAGGTAGGAGAATAGTACTTCCTTTCCCCCGAAAAATAGCGATAAAAGGATAGTTGCAAGAGAACACCAGGAAAAATGTCTTGGTTTAGGTTCTCACAAAAGCAGATCTGTAACAGGGATCCAGGTGGGAGGGAACACTAGGGAGACTGCCTGGTAGAGGGATGGGGAAGCCGGAAACAGAAGGAAAGATGCCAGTAAGAAGTGTCTTACTTACCAAGGCAGTACAACAAGGCGGGAGTGAATGGAGCCCAGTCCCTTGGGGAACTTGGGGGCAAAGAGCAGCACTCGAGAGTTTTCCAAATGTAGCACAAGGAGGTGGGGATATTTATCCACAATCTCCCAGTGCTCCATGGCTAACAGCTGCTTCTCTGCGCATTTACTCTGGCATTTCCAGCACCAGGGGCTAGAAACCAGATGCCAAGCAAGAGAGCCATGTGTGTGTACAAGTCTTTCAGTTGTAAATTAGTGAGTGTTTGGGGGATCTGGGTGGAGTCTTCATAGCTCTGTCACAACAATAAGTGTGGAGAAAATCCTCCCTGCTCTGAAGTCTTATCCTAGTTCCAATGATCTGAATCATTCACTTGGCAATTGATCAACTTGCTACTCTGTGATTATCTTCTCACTGCCTTAGATTGTACCTAGAACTTTACAGTTCACTTCCTGTAACTCATATGTATGAGACCATAACCTCTGTGACAGTTGGGAGCAGGATATGCCTTTTTATCTCCCACAACACCTTGCCTCCAGCCAGGCAAAGACCCCAGTTAGCCAGTCTCAGAATTTAGCTTGATTGATTGCCAATGAGAGAGTCAGGCCCAGAAGCATTTGCATCAAGATGGAGAATAGAGATCAAGACATCCGCCAACTTATACACCCTGTAGTCAAAGGAGGATGGAAACTGGGCAGCTAGTGGCCATGCCAGGCTGAAAATACCCCATAACCAACAGCAGCCCCCATTTAAAGATCTGGCTGGTAAAAATCCCTTGATTCTTCACCAAGGATTCTTGAATACAACCATTAATCTTAAGCCTCTAGCCTACGAAGAGGTTTGGGAATCCCCAATAGTCATGTGTTACAGACTTTTGATTCATGGTTGATTATATTGATTGTTTTGTTTGTTAAACCCATACAGGAAAAAAAGTGCATCTCTTTCAGATGCTTCAACTTTTCTTAGCAACCAGCCAAGCAATGCTGTGACCAACATAAGCTTCTATCCCTTACACTCAGCAACATACCTTAAGATCAAAGTGGGCGATCTGAAGGGAGTGTAGGTAGTAAACACCATTTAGAATTTGTTTGAGAAATTCAGTGGCTTCCTCTTCAGTCAAAGATTCCTTTTCAGCTAAGAAGTCAAACAGCTCACCACCTGCAACGCTGCAAACCAGGACAGAGGTTATTGGTGACAAGTCTGTTGCACACTGATTTATTCTCACATAGACTGTTGGCACACTCAAATTTCAGGCAAAAAAACTGCATAAAGACATGCTTAAACTGATAAGCAAAGACTCAGAATTCTCCAGGCCTCTCATCACCGGATGAGAATCTGCATTCAGGTACATTTGTGCTTGAAAGCACTTGGGTATCATTCTCCTAATGGGCTGGATGTTCACAAATGAGGGGGCTTGGAGCAGAGATATGGTGGGTGAAAAAAAAAGATCAATGTATCTCTTCAAAAATATTTAGAGGTGAAGTCTTAACACTGATTAAAAAAAAAAACTACAAGCTAACATTCTATAGAATTTATAGAATATGTCTTCCAAGTCAAATCACAGAGTACCTGGAAAGTTCACAGTTTACACACCAGTCAATTTTTTTTTTTTTTCAATTAGCAATAATCGTGCCTCGGATAAACCTCATTGGCTACGATACTGCCACTGCGCAAAGCTCACACCAGTCAATTTTTAAAAAACCCAATCACAATATATGGCCTGATAAGGACTTTTTTCTTGTTTTGTATTTGTGTTATGTGTAAATACTTACATAATTAGAAAAATCACATTTAATGAATCTAACAAATATCTTAACTAATAATAAATTTACACAAAATTGAGATGCACATGGTTGGTTGGGGATTTATTTACTCAGTCCTTCTGGCCAGATGTTAAGTCCCTGGAGGGCAGAGGTCAGCCCCTGGTTGTTGGCTCACAGCTGTCCCTACCTCCTGGCACAATGCCGGGCACACAGTATGAGCTCAAAATTCATTTGTCAAGTGGATAAATGAACAAGCTCCCTTAAAAACATCCACCGCAGTGATTAATGGCAAATAACAGGGAACTTTTTAATAAGAGTTTTTATAAGTTAATCTTTATCAAGTTCAACCACACTTTCACAACATAATAATTAATTGCAATTATGCACATAACTGCTATGTTCATTATCCTTCTTTCAGCAAGGCCGCTCCATAAACATACCTACCACATCTATAGCCAGAATGAGAAAACGGGTGCTCATGAAATGAAACAATAACCACAAAGAAGCCACATTCTTAAAGAAAGTTTCAGATCGCACCCCTTGGCCATCCACGTTGCTGTTTTGGCTAGCTTAGCCCTGGGGCCACTGGCATCAGAACTGCTGAGGGTATTTAAAAATGCAGATTCTGGGCCTCACATGCAATCTTCTGAGAGCTTCCAGAGTGGGGACTGGGAGATGCGCATTTTCACAGGTAGGACAGGTGACTGATTGTTAGCATGCTAAAATGCGAGGCCTGCTTTCCAATGTCTTAATTACACCCTCCTGCCAAGGCCTCACAGTGAGATTTAACTCCGGGATGTTTATCCGGAGAGTGAGGTGACTCCTCCACGTCTGGGGTCCCAGCAAAGGCCTCAGGTGGATCTGTGACACTCCACAGAGCCTCATCCAGCCAGGACAGCCAGGAGCCCACCTGGGTGGCAGGCCCTGCAGCTGATGCCAGCATGACCCAGCCTGGTGGCATCATAGAAAGGGGGACCCCCCATTCCTGTGGAATGCCATGCCAGGGGCCCAGGGCAGGCTCCAGGTATGAATGCCCCTTCCAGCCCTGCTTCTCCCCTCCCCCTCGCACCCAGTGGTTGGGCCGAACCCACACTCCTGGGGGTGGTCCTCCGGTGCCCACAGTGCCAGCCCAGCCTTTCTTCCCTCTGCCCCCCGCTGAGAAGCATCCTTGCTCCCACTTGCTCACACAGACTGTGCTCTTAAACACATCCACAAGTTTCTGGACAATGAGGAATGCCTGGGGCTTGGCTGCCTGGAGTTGGCACAAATCTTCTGGCGCTCAAACAGCCTAGTGCTTAGTGAGGCCCAGTCCTTCCCTGCAACGCCATGGCTGCCCCAGGCCAGGCCCTTGTTCCTCCTCTTTAGCTGGCTTTCCTTCCCTCACGTCTAACCTGTGCTTCTTCAGGTCTATGAAGAACAGCCTATTCCATTCTTCTGAGGGTTCCCTGACACAGGACAGCAGAGGGTAAGGAGACCCCGGGTCACATCCTGCCGAGTTTACCTAACCTCAGAGCCTGGGATCCCTCTTCTATAAAATAAGGAACAACTGTATCCCCCAGAGTTGCTGTGAGGTTCCAGGACATGTTAAGTATCCTCAGTGCTCAATAAATGCTGCTGTGCTTCATGTCTGGCTTCAAACCAAAAGTCCTGCCCCAGCAGTGGTGGTGCACTGGTCCAAGTTTAACAAGGGGCTCTCTGGGGCAGGGGGTGGAGCACAGCCCATTTCCGAGATGTCACATTCCCACAAGGGTCATTTCAAGCCATCCTGTGATAACAGTGGCTGTGTAGTTGGACAGGCATCTGTGCAAACAGCTGAGGGACCTGGGCCCAGCTCTTTGGCCCACTGAGGCACTCCTTATTTTCCAAAGATGGTGTAAGAGCCTGTCATGCCAAGCACTCTTCTGAGCTGTGATTTTGCATCTGTGGCTCCACCCCCTTGAATCTGGGCAGGCTGTGACTGCTTTAACTGCTCTGACCCATGACACATGCTGTGGCCACTTCAGCCTGCTTCTTCCCAGCCAGGGATTCTGCATCCTGCCTTTACGTAAGCAGTGTTGTGATACTGAAACCGTCATGCAGCATGGAAGATGAGACATCCCTTAAAGAGAGAATGAAACTGGGAGTATGAGCATGGTAGGGTTCTTGGAAGTGGCCCCTCTAGCCCAGGAGGTCAGACTGTCTGAACCTTTGCAGAATTCATGTGCAAAATAAAACAGTCATTTTAATTCACTCTGGTAGACACCGTGAGCACCGCCTGTGTTCCCCTTGGAGGAAGGCCCTGCTGTCCCCGCTGCTGGGGTTGAAATCAGCATAGCCCTCAGCCCTCACTCCTCCCGCACCCAAAGTCATGTCCTTTCCCAGGAGACCCACAGCCAATGGTTGCTCAGGGTGGGAACATAAAGGTGGGGTTGACAAACTTCTGTGAACAGCTAGGAACTAAATATTTCAGGTTCTGAGGGCCATACAGCTTCTGTTACAACTCCTCCTCTCTGCCCAAGTACTGTGAAAGAAGCCTGAGACCATACGTATAAGTGAAGGGGTGTGGCTGTGTTCCAATAAAACTTTATTTACAAAAACAGATGGCTACCTGGATTTGGCCCACAGGATGTAATTTGCCCATCTACCCCTGAGATAAAGGCTAGGTCATCTTGGCCCAGTCTGGGCTACTCTCAAGGGTCATTCTGGCTCCAGAACTCTCTGCTGGGCCAGCTGGGACTGTCACTGAGCTGTAAGGCAGCACAATTTCTCTGTCCACTCCTACTCCTTCCCCTCCTTTCCAAGTCTTGCTTCTAAGGGCAGTTCTTAATAAACATCCTACAGGCTCTTCATCTCAGAGTCTGCTTCCCAGGGAACCCCCACTGCACTGTACAAAACTTGAGGGTAGTTTATTAACAGCAGTAGGTGACCAGAACACTCATCATCTTAAACTGGGTCTGTCTACTTGGTTCGGCTGACAGAAATCACCTTTGCCTTTCTCTGGGCTGAGTTGCCTTGGGCCCTATTCACTCTTCCTCTTGAGCAGCTCAACTCTAAAGTGCTTATCTGACCACAGAGGTGAGAGTCAGAACAATCCTGGGGCCCCAGAGTGAAGGGCCAGCCTGCAAAGAGGCACTGCCTGATCAAGACAGAGGGAAAGGAAGCATGAATCCTTACAAATTTCTCCATCTACCTTTCTCCAGGCCCTGTGCAAACCACACGCTGATCATGGTGTGACATGTGCAGGGACTGGTTCAGCTTGATGTTAGGATGGTTGGGAGAGCCCCCATCTCACTGGCCTGGACCTGTCACTGGTCGCCTGCTGCCCTGAAGGGCCTTCATACATATTCAGCCTCCTTCATGCCAACATAGGAAGGCAGAGGTTTTAGACATGAACATCTACTTATAAAATATTTAGTCATTAATCACATGGAAATGAAATGACTTCAGCACAGTCTGGGAGCACAGTAAGTATTCAAATACTCCCCAAATCTCAGAAGGGAGAAAGTGACTTGAGTATTTCTTCCATATACATGTTTAGAACCAGAACTTAAATGCTTACAATGTTGTTACCAAACGGCAGAATGTTAAAAAGATCAGTCAAAACCTCGATACTTTTCACTCTTTGTTCCAGATTTGCTTAAGAAAAGGAAGACTGATGGAGAGAGATGAGCAATCTGTGCAGCAAATTTAGAAAGCAGGCCTAACCTCCTTTATTAAGTCTTTGAGTCAGAGTGTTTTAAATTACAGCATTATTATGGAAATGATGTGAAATGCATGCTAATAAGCAATGGCTGCTTTCACCAAGAGGGCTGGAGAAAACGTAGGTTCCTTCTCCCCATCATGCCTTTCACTACCACCGATGCCTCCCCTAAAAGGTAGATGGAACAGAATGTATTCATGACACACTAGAGTTTTAAAAACAAAGTGGGCCTTGGGGGTGATGTAAGACAGATTACTACAGAGCCCCAATTTCTAAATCAAAACACTGTTCAGGGTCCCTGACTCTTGCTGGGATTTTTCCAAGATAGAGCAGGACTTGATTCTGGACTCGGTCTGGTCATAACCTAAACTGCAGGGGATCTTAGCTACAAGCGAACTTCACCTAATGAGGCATTTCAAGGCAAACATTATGGCTCTTCAGAGTTGGGCTGGGTTTCCCTATAAGGTGCCACACAGCAAGTGTGTGTAGTTGGTGAACTGGGGGCCAATCTGGCACATAAAAGTCCCAGTGAATGGCAATTATTATTCATAAAAAATACAGCTGCTGAGTTCCCTTCCAAGGACAGGGGAAATGTTTTACCTCCTTACCTTAGGGGGTTTGCTCCTTAAACAGTGCTTTCTGAAGAGGCTAGTAGTTTTGGTGGCTTCTTCATTAAACAAGATTAAATGCAAAGTGCTTGGCACCAATACGGTACATAGTAGGTGCTCAGGAAATGTCAAAAATCCTGCTTTGATGCCAGAATGGTTCACAAAGCTCTAACTGCTCTCACACCTCCAACTCCCAACCCAGCCTCCAGGCTACCATGGATCCACTCTCTCTAGAGGCTCTGCCTGATCCTCAAACTCCCCAAGAACTAACAATTTTATTTCAGTTCCTTTGCATCCAGGTAGACATGGGTCCTCTATAATTCAAAAGGGCAGACTGTTGGAGCTGGCAAGATGCCCTGAAATGGTTGTGCATATGTGTGGAATTGATCTACATGCTTTTAGGGAGACATGCTTCATGCACGAGGGACCAGATCTGTTAGTTTTGCCACCTGTGGCAAGAAAGGGAAGATTCCAAGCTTGCAAAAAATACCCACATCTGGAAGTACGCTGGGATGCCCAAAAGGTCCCTGCCTCAAAAATCTGGTCTTCTATCATCATAAAGGACTAATCTGTGAAGCTGGGTTAACATGTGGCCTCTGTGGACAAAATGAAGATTCTAAAGCAATCA